GTTTCGACAAGGTTTTGTCATCATCAAGGTTTTGAACCTGATGATGACAAAAACCTTGTCGAAACATTGTACATTTGCTGTTATATTAAAGTTTTTCTTCATTACCCATTCAAGCCGTCTCCAGCCATTATAACCTAATTTTACTGGTGTACATACCTGACAGAGGAAATTAACTCAATAAGAAATATCTAATAATCAGTGACAGAAAATTCATGTACACTGTTAAACAGGTAACATTCACACTACTTGTGTTGGACATAACACAAAATATTTAAATTCTAAATATATATTTATATACTTACTACTAGATAATGTAGGAGTTTCATCTTCATTTTTCATCAATTTGATATCCAACAAATCATCCTGTTCATTTTCAGGAAAGGGTTCAACTTTCATCTTTGATACATCCATGGTTATATCACAGCTTCACCTTTATATCTTTATCAAAACCTGCAGTTAGACTAGAGAAAAACAGGTTAAAAATTAGAACATGTATCCTGTAAAAAATATTACAAAGTTTGAATCAAATACTAACCTTAAAATTCACAATATCTTAATAACATGTAAATAACTTCATAAGTTTCTTCACATCTGTAGACAAAGTTACAAGTCCTTTTCTTCTGAAAACTACTGTTTTTAAAACAAAATGTCTGGTAAGAAATCATGATAATCTTCTAACCAAAAGTTATGTAGTTTACACATAACTAGGTTTTTACCCCACTAAGTATAATATACCTTATATAAAAATTACACCAATGAAGACAACAGTGGAACTACTGAAATACTAAATTCCAAATCTTTATACTATATAAACTTAGTTAAATGTTTTAATAATGAATATAAACATTATATATATATCACAACTGTTTTGTGTTTAACATAAATATACACATAAGGCAAGTAAACAACTATATAAACATTGCTAAATATTTTAATGATGAAATACAATTATTTGTATAACAGCTGTCATGCTTAATATTACAAGACAGATAATAAGTAAACAAGATATTATTTACTTATATATGTATATGTGCATGCGGAGAGTTTAGTATTAGTGGATGTTAAGCCTAGTTCGACCAAGAGGTCCATTGTTATACTTAAATGCTATATATTTGTAATACATGAAATGTTTAAATTTATCATTAAAATATTTAACAATATTTATATTATTGTTTACTTATATTATCTGTCTTGTAATGTTAAACACGACAGTTGTTATACAAGTAATTGTATTTCATCATTAAAATATTTAACAGTGTTTACATTATTATTTACTTATTATATGTCTTGTAATGTTAAACACGACAGTTGTTATACAAGTAATTGTATTTCATCATTAAAATATTTAACAATGTTTATACATTATTGTTTACTTATTATCTGTCTTGTAATGTTAAACACGACAGTTGTTATACAAGTAATTGTATTTCATCATTAAAATATTTAACAATGTTTATATTATTGTTTACTTCTTATCTGTCTTGTAATGTTAAATACAACATAGTTGTTATACAAGTAATTGTATTTCATTATTAAAATATTTAACAATGTTTATAAATATTTATTTCCTAATTTTTTATGGTAGTTGTGAGATTGGTTAAATCTACCGAACCCATACAGAGATTAATTACTGAAAATAATAAATAGAATATAAAGATTTTTTAAAGAAATGGTTGATAACTATCTGGACATTATAAAGATTTCGCATGTAACATTTCAAAATTTTCTGATGCATAAAAGTATTTTTAATCTTAAAATCAAAATTACTTTGCATGATAGATAGGCAACATGTGAAAAGAAAAAAAGCATAAAGAAAATGTTGCTTTACAAACCTTAAGACTTAATAACAAAAATTTATATTTTGCATATGAAAGCATTGTAATGTTTACTGATAATCTGTCCAACTTTGTCAACATTCCCTTATTAATTTAAAAGTTATAGCATGAAAACTATAACAAGCACAAAATAGTTACGAGGTCAGTCGCAAGGACAGAGCCCGTGCTGAAAGAGTTAAATATTTGATATACAAATTCATATATATATTCAAGAAAACAAACTACTGACTAAAGACTTCGAGGACTGATTAAATAATCTGTGATGCTGTACGAGCTAAGCCAATGAACAGCCCACTTTATCAAACATCTAACTACATACTTTTTTAACATATGTGATTAAATAGTGGAAGATTGTAAACTGTGGTGATTTAACTATCTTTAACAGCAGTAAAGCTGACATTCACTGTACATGCAATAGCCTCTGTTTTCTTAATTTACCTACAGTATAGAAAATACAGAAAACAGGTTACTTCATGCATGTGCAATACAACAGAGTGAAGAGTCTATCAGAAAGAGCAACATAACTAGAAAGAAATTTGTTTGTTATGATATTTGAGCAAAGCTAAACATGGGCTATCTGAACTAGCTGTCCCTAAATCTGAACCGATACACCAAAAGGAAGGCAGATATTCAACAGCATCTACCAATAACTCTTGGGCTACGCTAACCAAACAGTTGGATTTGACAATCATTCTTATAATGCTCTATAGTGCGGGACATATTTAAACAGCAACAGGGCACATACTATGGACTCTGAAATTCACATTCTAGCACAATAACTACTAGCACATTCCCAGACAAATTAGTTAAGTAAGTAATAGCTAAAGGTTGTAACACAAACATCTGTGAAATACAAATAACAAAAGGATGAAAATGTACACACATAAATCACATAAAACATATGAGTTGATAAAAAGTTATTGCAAGGAAAAATTTAAATAAATTTTTAGAATATATTTTTAAGATATTTATATAACAAGATATAAGGAGTTTTAAATGAATAATAAATCTTCAATTGTCTTTAAAAACAACAGCTAAACTGTTAATTCTTCACATTTTTTCTCTGTCTTTTTTTCTAAAGAATTTATGACTATAATTAGAAAATAACCTTTAACCTGGCATTTCTCTTTCTTGAACACTTTTTACAATGGATTCTACTCTCAAGAAATGCTGAGGATGTAATTTCATTCAGCATAGAAAAAGACTTGTGAAATCACAAAGGATTATAATTTCGGAATAAAAAATTTGCATCAAAAGTTGATAATTTCTTTTTCTAAGTTCACATTATAAATTAATGCTGACTGTCACAGCATTTACAACATTGTTATTAGAACTCATTTAAGACATTTTAAACATACCTGTGTTACTATTGTTGGCAGAGGCTTGTGCTGCTGCAAGAGCAGCCAACTGTTGTTGAACACTCAAGGAACCAACACCTGCATAAAGATGAAAAGGATTCATTATGTTTTTTAACCTAACTTTAAGGCAGTAGTCAAATGCTTACACTATCAAAATATCTGCTGTTTTTTAAAAAAACACTATTGATTTTTGACAATAAAAATATTTAACCTGATATACACTGAGTGGTCACAAGTAAATAGACACCTAATT